AAATGAATTGGGGAATAAAGCTCAGCGAGTGCCACGTTTTTTTTCTAGGTTTTCTTCGAAGTACTTACCTAGCCCCGTCGATCGAGCTCTAGACAAGGGCTAAGGGTCATAACCTTTAACCCGCTAGGCCGCAAATCTCCCATCGAAACCGATATAAATATCTTCTCAATAAAAAATCATAAAAAACATCATCTAAATACTTACGACGTCTAAATTCCTGGCTCTCCAATGCTAACCGCTAAACGAGAGATTTAACGCCCGTTACTCCACCACAAACTGTTCATTAAAAAGCTCTTAACAAAAATAATGGAATCAATCAACCCAAAAACACGCACCACCACTCAACAAGCACTGATTTTGAGTCGCATCACTTCAGTGAAAACAAATGACTCTCTGGATGGTTATTCAATCATTCACAATAAATTCCGTAGTCGGGCGCGCGGGCTCGATCCAAGCGAATTCCCTCCGCGAGACTTTGGCGGACTGAGGGTTGAGCCTACTGGAAAATATCAACCCCCGACCGGGATTCCGAGGAAAGTGACTTAGCCACGGGGCTGGCAAACGGCGACTGCCTCGCTCACGGAATTGAGTCACCAATGAGTCAGAAGAGGTCCGATGGAGTCCGCCAGTTCCTCTAACATACGTCAGGCGCGAGCGGAGTGCCCCGAAGTTGGCCGGCGACCGACGAACGTCGGCGAGCTCAATGAGCAACGATAATTCATTATATTATGAAAAGGACATTTCCCAGATATCTCCTTCGCTCTCGTCTAGCCTGTTTTAAATATGTGAAAGCCAACAATAAAATTGCTTTCAAGCCAATGTTTAAAAACGCTGAAAGAAAATTGCAAGTCTTATCGCTGCAGCAGCTTTTCAGGCGCGACCTAACAATGAACGAGGTCCTGAAATCATTAAACTACGTCCTGAAATTAATTGAATTTTATCTGTTCTTCAGTAATTTGTGAATATTCTATTTGGAAAACAAGGGTTTTGGAGCAATTAAGAACCACTTACTTAGTTGTATTAAGACTAATTATGAAGGTTGAGTTCAGTAGAGTAACTAGATACATAAGATTTACAATCTAGAAAGAAGAGCTCGTCGGATTATTTTAATGTTACGAGTAATCTACGATGTAATACTGCTGACTTAGTAGGAATGTAAACTTCAAACTTGTTTTCAAAACTGGTAGCCCTATCTGTTGGAAAAATTAAACTTCTCTGGTTATTTTGTGTCTCATAAACAAACGCTCTTTATACGGTGCTAGTTTAAGAGCCTTTCGTTTCAATTTCAACTTAAAGTGAAGAGGCTTTGCCAAAATAATATCGTGTAATGTCACATACTTTCAGCTAATAAGGCGCAAAAGTTTATTTTATGAAAGTAAAGGAACAGCTTGCGCGTTATTCGACGGGACCGCTGCCAAGCTCCAGACAGCCTGTCGCGAAATCTCGAACGTGTCATCGAGGGAACAAAATTGACACAACTGGGGGACTATGGGACGGCATGTCTAGCTAAATCACAGATAAACACTGTGGCATCTTTCGGCAATTTTGCAACGGTTTCGATAAAGTTGGTATAAGTATGTAGTGTGTTATGGGATTATTCCCACTTCTCTTTCCCACCACTGCAACTCCTGTGTAGGATTCTACAGCTTGACCGCCAATAAAAACCCAACCAATGAAGGTCAAGTTTGTCCCGGGGGACAGTTAAACTGTCATTGAACCCGCAACGAAATTAATCAGAAGAACATACTTAGGAGGAGTTCTAAGTTAAAGGTTCGAGTATGTGTGTGTTAATGAACAAAATTGACACAAAATTTTGGCCTACGATACGGAAAGCGTCCCTACAACGTCTTTACGTTTTTCAGCCGAACGTTAGGAGTGCGTTTCGCTTTTTCTATTTTCTTTTTTGAAAATGTAGAGCGTTCTAGCCTTTTGTATAGTGTCTGTTTTTGTTTCTTATTAGACTTTTTCAAACATAAAATGAAAACTATAGGTATACCTACGTAAAATAACATTAGAAAGTGCTTTGATGAAAACTTTCGATAGTTATTTTCCGCGTGAAAAAGTAGATATTACTTGGGATAAAAGTAGCTAATGAATCTCTACAGCGTCCATTAAGTACCTTAAAAATAGTTTTTCAGTCTTCGGATAATAAATGTAAATAAAATGCTAACAGCGCTAAAAAGATTCAGACGTCGAACATTAATAGGTAACAGCTGTTAACGACAACAAAGACATTTAATTTTAGGTATAATATTATTGAAAATCTTTATTATTGTTATAGAAAAATCAGAGCTCCCATCAAATCGGCCCTAGTTCAGGCCAGTCATGCTGTGCTTAATCAGGCGCAGTCATGTCAGGTTGCAATCAAACGGGCGGAATAGGCACAGATATTGCATTCGGCTGTAATGAATGTGTGATGGATTGGTTCTGCCCATTTGTGTAGGGCTGTCAATGGTACTTTATGCTAATCTATCAACTAAAGTTACCAACATAAGTAACGAAAGTAAAGTCAGAAAAATACGTGAGGATGAATAATAATATGGAATTGATCGTGCCAGAATCGAACTTGGCACCCATTGCATTCAAGGCGTTACCGCACCTGCACCGTCACGCTCACGACGCTCTACCTACGCTATATCAAAGTAAAATTAAGCTTTTGCTCTATATTTTCTCATATTAAATACTAGCTGTGCCCGCGACTTCGTACGCGTGAAAACCCGTTTTTGCAACATGTTTCATTGTTGCTCTGCGTCTATTACTCGTAGCGTGATGGTATATTCCTTCCTTCCTCGATAAATAGGCTTTCTATTTTTCAAATCGGACCAGTAGTTCCTGAGATTAGCGCGTTTAAGTAAACAAACAAACAAACTCGTCAGTTTTATAATATTAGTAGTATAAATGTAGAGTAAGTACTAATGACCATGGGATTTATGAAAATGTACTCATAACTAATGCGTGTAAATAGCACATTTAAGACGTCCTACGGTTAGGAGGCACTCATTAGATGATTAGATGAATAGGCAACCCTAGATGCAAATAAATAGTCCCATTAGGTTTGTGGTAGAATGTCAGGTAGGTATTAAGATAGGTAGCTAATAGGATACGTAATAGGTACTTATTGATTTGTAAAATATGTACCATTTGTGAATTTAAAATTTTTCAAAAAAATCAAAGTTCCAAACTTTATTACTTGACGCTACATCAATAATAATTCGTGTTACTGTTTTGATAGAACAGTTATGTGGTAATTATTACGAGTAAAGAATTTATAAATATAAAAAATATTTTCTAGGTGTTTCAGGTTTTTTCGTTTGGGTTTCCGATTGAAGACGATCAAGTGGCATTGACCACTAACCGCCCCATGGCGTCATTTCAATTTAATTACAATTGTTTTTTCTTGATGCCGTCGTGTCATTGCATCAATTGATGCCAATTTAAAAATTGTTAATGAATGAATACTTGTTTGTGTGTGCATCAGTGCAGAGTGCATTGTCTTTTAAATTGGGCCTGTTTTTACCCGACTGCGCCAGAAGGAGGGTTATGTTTTTTTAAATTACTGTAACACTCCGCAAGATGTTTTTCATGGATTAGGTAGGTACTAATATTATTATGATAGATAAGGAAGATGCCCGCTGTGACCCCCTATTCCATAATATAGATAACAGTCTGATAAACATTTACGACACTTTATAAAATTGCGATTTATTGGTACGATTTTTTAAAAAGTTTGGTTTGGCCAATACTCCATGTGAGTGAAGAACCATATTATTAGGGTCCTATAATAAAACTATACTATACTATAGTAAAATAAAGTCCTTACTCATAGTAAATATATTTTATTTCAATTGACAAAACTTACAAAACGGACGGCGTCATATTTCATTTCACAGGCACTACTTATGTTTATAATAATAGTAATTATATTAATATACATTATATTTTTAATCCTTAATTTTATTATGATTCCATGTTAAGGTCAAAGCAGACTTATCAACTCGGAAGTCCCAAATGTGCTACGTCATTTAATTTGAAAATGGAGACTAATTAGATCATAAAAAACAACGGATCAGTTTGATAACAAGGTCTATTTAGATACCAAAATGCAATATCTATCAGTCAATCATTGGTTGAGTTACCATAATGTAAAATACATTTAAAACTTGGATCATAATCATTATTATAAATACATACTGATTATAAATACATAATCATTATTATAAATAAATACTTTCTATCTATCTATTCCATATTATTGTGCATTATCGATAAATATAACAAAATATGACAGTCCTTGTTGGAAATTATTTAAAAATAAATGTTAGTAACAAGAAACATAATATAAATTAAGTTGTATGTCTGTCAAGTTCTTCTTTGCAGAAAATCGTGAAGGTATCATTGCAATAATAATTAATATTAAATACTAATTTTCCAAAACTTTAACTTTTAACCTGAATATGGAATGTATTTGGCAAGAGCAAAATATTTGACGCTTTGTAAGTACTGTTTAAATAGCCTATCTACAGGGTGTTAGTTAAATGGGTATATGAGCCGACACTAGCCCATGTTAATATATTCATATAAATGGTATGGTGAAGTCAGAAAATTGATATCATCATTTTAATTATTTTAATTTTCATACAAATCAGATTCTTAAAATTTTATTTTGTATGAACATTTAAAAATATACCCATTTACCTAACACCCTGTATACAAATAAAGAAATTTTGACTTTCGACTTTAAGAAGGAATGTTTCATTGCACTAAGAAAACAATAAGTCTAAATATTAGAGAGATAGGACTTAAATAAATCATTTTTCACAAAAATATAATGGTTAAGTCTAAACCAAAATAACTTTTCAGTTCATCTAAATATCAAAAGGCCAAGAGATTGTAACAAGATCAGAAAACTATTATTTACATAATACACTAAGTGAAAAATAACATACAAAATTGAGATTCTCAATCAGAGTTTTGGTACAATTTGTACCAATTACTATGTCTTCACACTTCAGCTTATTATAAGGTGTAAATAGTAACCAACTGTTGGGTTGTTATCTTCAAACTGCTAAAACAGTAACACAGTTGTTATTACCAACAGACTTAAACACAAACTAGCTTTTGCCCATAGCTTCACCCATGTATTTTGGTCTATCATAGAAATATTTAGGCAATATCTCTCTGAAATAATGTTTATTTTGGTAATGGCTTTTCTGGTTAAGACTTAGATGTGATCTATTAAGTATGTTGGTAATTTAACATACACAGTATAAACTGTGAACTGAAGATATTGCTACTTTACCAGTGACAAAATCACAACAATTATTAAGTATACAGATCATATAGGTCATTGTTATCTGTTTATCAGTAAGTGTATGGACGGTACAGAACAGAATGTTATTTTTCAGTCATATAAGGCACTTAAAGTACTTGACTATCTTAGAATTTATTAGCTGCTGTATGAATACACAGTGAATACTATTGCAGTCACAGTCAGCATTAGAGAGGCTTGTATGAATGAGGAATGGTTACAGTCGTCGGTGGAACAATAGCATTCTTCCCAGTACACTCCGTTCGGGTAGACGCCCCAGTTGCAAACTCCAGTGACACCTGTGTCGGCCACTGACGCACAACGGCGAATCACTTGCCGCCATCTTCCGTCCCCTGAAAATTTTATCAACAAAATTAAAAGCAGACAGTTTCTATTTGTAATTTTGACATAACTAGTGAATTTTATTGACTGGTTATTTATATTTAAGACTTCGTAATAAGATATTATCATATGGAGTGGATGCCACGTACCAGAAAGCGCAGCGTAGGACACCGACGACCTCATAAAGGTAGTAGGAAGGCGCTGGATGCAGTCCCCCACCTACCGTTGGAAATCATTGGGGGATGTCTATGTTTAGCAGTGAACGTCCTATGGCTGAAATAATGATGATGAATGAGATAAACACTCACATATGAATCCTTTTGGACCCTGTTGGGTTAATTTCATGCAGAAAGACCCTGGCGTATGAGACTCGTCACTGTTACACTCCACGGCTACATGACTATCTCGGTCGAACCTTTTGTAAGCTCCACAATTGTCTTCTCCTTTCGGGTCTTGAAACGATGCGCATTGGTAACATCTTACAGAGAGAGCTGTAAGAACAGAGTTGTTATTACTTTGTCTTGATAATTCTTACAGAAAACTGTTGTGAAAATATGCATACCTGCAGGTATTGAACACAGAACAATCAACACACATAGTTTAGTGATCATTTTTGTTTTAGGGTTTGTTTTTTAGTAGATTTTTACAATATAGTTGTTGATTTCAACAAAGTACACACCCAAAACATGGAACAACCGATTTTAAAGTAGTTTTATTTTAACGCTTCAGTGTCAATGTGAATGTCATCCATATTAATGGTCCGAAATGCTAAGTAGTTATTTCAATCCAAATAAAATAATCATTGATTCTGTATTGGAATAATGTCGTGAATGCTAAATTTTGTAGCTTTTAAAAAGTTTTGTTATTTAAAAAGAATTATAATATGCTATGTTTTTAAGTATCTCTCACAACAGCCTTCAGTTTTAAAAAAATATTTTTTTATGGTCCGAAACATCTACCCGCTAATGTGCGACATATCGACATTCGTTAAAATAGTAAACAAACAAACAGTAAACAACAGGTTTTTGTAACGAGTTCGGTTTTATGCAAAAATATTTTAATATTTGGTTTTCCTTTATTTAATAACTTACAATGGCACATTTAGTTAAATTCGTAATTTGCTTCCTTGTAGTGCTCCAAGTAGTGCCTTACGGTAAGTTATAATACGACTAAATCATACGCTTGGTCACGCCCAAGTCCAACCCAAGATCTTTCGTATAAAAGTTTAATTTCATTTCAGTGTTGAGCATAAAGTGTTGGGACTGCCGATCCAGCAATGATCCTAAATGTGCAGACCCATTTGACAACAGTACAGTGCCAATTACGGATTGCAATCAAGAGAAGGGCTTTCCGCACTTGCCGGGCGTGAGACCAACCATGTGTCGCAAAATAAGACAGAAAGGTAAATAATTCTTGATTTGAATCAGTGCTGTTAATTTCAAAATTTTGGGAAAAGTAACATCTCTTGATTGTTAATACTTGACATAAAAACCTAAGCTGATTTCGTAATCCCAAAGATGCCGTAGGCTTTGGTCTTTGAGTAATTCAATTCATGTGATTTACTATAAAAGCTACTCATTTTATTTATTAGCTACGCAATTTTATTCTTTTATTAATACTCCGTCAAATACAAACTAACCTTTTCTGTTAAACCGTCTTTTAGTGAACGGAGTGTGGCGATACTTCAGAGGTTGCGCATACTTAGGCGAAGTCGGTATCCAAGGAGACGAACGATTTTGCCTGATGAGAACTGGAACGTACAACATCTTCATCGAATACTGCACATGTAACAGTAAGGACGGATGCAATTCTTCCTCTTTGTTTAGTCCCATGCCCGTGCTGTTGATTTCATTGCTGGCCGTATCGTATTTGTTCAAATTAATCTTATAAGAAAATTTGGACTAAAAATAAGAAAAATAGTTTTAAAATTATGAAGACAAAAAATAATACTTCAGCACAACTAGTATTTCTAAAAAAAGGTATACAAAGTTACAAACATAAGACTTATTGAAGTACTACCAGCAACTTAAACTTTAAAATTAAGCCAATAATGCATTTGTTAAATGACGTTAAAACTACTAAATGAATCTCACATCACATTTCGTGAAATATGTTAAGTTTAAAGTTACTGATTGATATGATTGAGTTTTAATTACTATTTTATCTTTGTGATACCATTTTATTATTATTGTACTTAGCAGCCAGCCACTTGCACAAGAATCTCACTTTTAAACTTTTTTTTTTCTAACTTAAACTTGTCACAAAGATTTAAAATAATGCTTTTTGGTGATGATCACAAATGTAGTGAAATCCTTTTTCTGATTTAAAAAATACTTTAAGAAGAAAGAAGTAGGCTTACCTATACTTTATAACTACAAAAGTTAAGGTTCTGCTGATCTGCTCTGATCTTTGGTTGTAAGTATATTTTATAATTGTAGTAGTATTTATTTATACACAGTTTCTATTGCATTTATTTATAGTGCTTATGATCAGTTATATGGTTACATTGGTACTTGATGAGATGAGTCCAAAAAGTTTTTATAATGTGTATTGTTTCATTTAATATTATGTAATTATGAATTTTCTGTGTAAGTTAATTATGTGCATTTCTTCTGAAGACCAAAAGCTAGATAAGACAGATTTTTTATTATGAGTATCTATCTATGTAGTTAGACTGGGTTGAAAACACACAGATGGCTACCACCTTTTCTATTTTCCTTAATATGTATGTAATTTCACTTTTAAGTTGTCAGCAAAGAGGAAGGTAATAGCTGTTCAGGCCAGATACTGACCAACAAATAGCACCTCGACTGATCATACCAACACTGATGATACGTTAGTTGTTAAGTGTTCAATCCGTCCTGTAATTTACTGTGTCCGTCCATTTTATTATTGTATAAGAATAGTTGACTTATTGTAAAATTTGAAATAAAGACTTTTATAAGTATATTTTTAACAACTATCTTTCATTTCATGTTACTGCTATCATACCACCAACATCTCTCACTACAGCAATTTTTTTTATTGTCGAATGATATCATATTATTATAAAGAAAGAACACCAGCCAGTTACGTTTACTGAACATTAGATGGGCATGAAATGTATAGTACGCCATATATCGCCTGTGTATTCTGGCATTGTCGCGTATTCTACACAAAATAAAATACATTTGTCAGGAGTCAGGATGTAAATAAAAACAAGGAATTTTGTGAACAACTTTATTAATTTTATACATTTAACATTAGTGCCTTAAATACTTAAAGATGTTTGCAAAAAGGTTTTTAAGAAACTTCAATTGTGTATTTGTAAAAATAAGATAAAGTAGGTATACATTACGTATTTTCAGTTTCAGGAATTAAACAAATATTAGACACCAGTCAGAATTAAAGTGATCGACTTATTCGTTTATATGTATTATTATGTATGAAAACAATATAAAATATTATTATGGAAGTAAGTAACGAAAATATATTTACATTTAAATTCACTTTGCACATATTATATTTTAAAATACATAAATAATGAAATGTAAGTAACAAAAAAGTTTGAAGACAAAATGAATTCATTTTGATACTTAGGGTCTAAATATTGCTCATTTAGTTCGGATCTATTATGGACTATTTGGTATTATAATAAAGCTTAATTTATCTTATTGCTTATCAATAATTTACATTAATCGTGCAAACTGTCACGGTGGGCACCTACTCGTTATTCAGAAAAATATTCACATGGTCCCGTGTCTGGACTGGAAACTTAAATATTTTTGTACTATAAACTGCTGGAAATACATGTCAGCGTAAACAACGGTGATAAATCTAGTTTAATGTATGTTTTTATTGGATTTGCGATGTTTAAATTAAGCTTTTATTTGTATGACGATAAGTATTAGGTAGATTGATATGATATCTACGATATTATTTGTTCATATAACCATAGCGCAATAGCTAATGACCGTGTTGTACCGCCGACATGTTCGTTAATCTAGAGACCATCTCACACTGAGCTTACAATACCTACATTACAACAGTTTTTTTTTTCAAGACTTGTAGCTCAGCAGCTCACCCGTTGCGAGCAGTTATTTGTATTTTTGCCAAGAATTACTTTATACAGATTCGAGAAAGTTACGTGCTACTTATTTGTCGCAGTGAATTAATGACAAGTACTTATGTAGGTATACATTTATTAAAGCTGGGCTACACCACTCGCGTATACAAACTAAGCGAAAGCTACATAGTCCTTTGAAATGGTTTAACAGTAGATGCTGCGCGAGTGAGGTGAACAATCATAGGAGAACTCACGATAAGCCATTTTTAGTAAAAAATACATTTCAAATATCAATGCGTGATTGTAATTACTACCCTGTTGTGATTCGTTTTTATACATTTAGCATTTTTGAGTCCCGCAATTTATACATACTAGCGACCCTTTGAGATTCACAATTATTTCTTGGCAAAAATAACTTCGATTGAGATTTTACTTGAAGAGGATGAGGGCAAGTGGAGCCACGAGTAAGGCGAGGGTCTTGCCAATGGCGGAGGCTCCGTTGCAACCGTCATAGTCACAGGTCTCGCAGAACTGGGTGATCTCATTGGGCCCGTTGGTGGAACTGGGACAGCTGACGCTGTAGTCGTCTGATCTCTTCCACGTGCATCCTCGGGAGACCACGATCTGGCCGTTGACTGGAAGAGAAAGTGGAATTGGTTAGGAAGATGCAGATAAAAATCGGACGAATATTGGTCAATCGCTGTATCTGCCTGTTTCCCTGAAAAAATACTTTTCTGAGACAATTTCCATGAATTTGAATAGTAACATTTTTGCTGATTATATTATCAAAATAATGTGTTAATTAGAATATAAATAGAAGATGAGATCATTGACATTTACGTTGAGAAAACTAAAAATATTCTTGAATTCTTGGCTGGAATGCCCGCCCGATAACAATTAAAAAATCTAAGAAGAATTTAAACTGATGTTAGTGCGATGTTCCCTTACACTTCGTATTTTTATGACCACGTATGTGTAAGCAGTTAATTTGCCATCCACTTTTCAAGAGGACTTCTAAATATGGACTGTAAGTACTTAAACATGACTTAAAAGTTTCTGCGCAGAATAAGGCGTGTATTAGCATTCATGTACCCTCAGTAAGTAGTAGTCTGTCGCATTATAGCGAAGTGGTTTAAATAAAACGGCTTAATTAACTGTGTTTAGTTAGAACAATAGAATTGGTTGGGCAGTCACAGCATGCAGGTACTCTTCCGTATGGACATCGCAAATTGACTTCATGTGACATTGAAAATGTGCCCGTCATGGCTTTAGAACACATGCTTTTTATACGTCAAGCCATGGCATTTTTTTTGGAAAAGTAACAAGGGCAATAGTTTACGAAAATAAAAAAAAGCAATTTTCTCACTTGATTAAGAATCCAATCAAGGATTGAGTCTACTTATTTCAGATTTTGTACGAATTACAGTCAGCAACACACAGTTGTGACCCGTACTTTGTAGTTACTGGTACTTAATTCCTTTTCAAAATGCCTTACAATGTTTGCCCCGTTTTAGTGCGTCCAGATTGTTAGAACTTTAACTTTAGTTCTTCAAAAAGGGCCACAAAAAAACTACATGGCATTGCATGACGTTCCAATACTGTAAGATACCCTGTGACGACTTAATATGGTAATACTATCAATGGCGTGACATGCTTCAACCTTCGCTCACGCTATGCACTTGGCTTCTCGCAACTATCAATAGGTCCTTTTCCCCAAGTCTGCCATAGCTAAAAATATGTCTGTCGAAGACAGGTTTCATGCTTCCATAATTTCTAATTTATGTTTAGAGCCTTTCTATTTTCTTACCACGTTGCACTACTGCATTTAATCATAAATACCAAAGTTCTGGCTTTGTTAAAATAAAATACTGCAAGTTGGGGTTTTCTTAACTTTATTCGTTCGTTTCAGTCAACTGACATCCAGTGCTGTAGGTACTGGATTTCTATCATCCGATCCTGCGCTGCCCGCATCCAGGTACTTACTTAACTTTATTAATTCAACACTAATAATGACCTAGGCCTTATCATGGCTATAGTGAATAGGTAACTTACTATTAGATACAAAGAGATAATTTAGGCAGCTTAATTTTGACGCTAATTTTAAAATGTTTACCATATTCTCACTATGACTTGGTACACATTTGGCATTGAAGGCATTCACAATGAATGACACAAGCATACTTAATGGGCACAGTATGACAGAATGTACAGTAGAATAGATCCCTTTGTTTAACTACAAGGTGATGAGAAAATAAGAACGTCTGTTTAAAATAGTGAGTTAGTTGTGTCTAACTAAACTCTTCATAGGCACTATTTATCTATTCCTTGAAACAATAATTACTGGGGAATAGATGGCACTAGATAGAAGCTATTTAGGAGGTTAAAGCTATAAAACAAGTTAAAGGACATCTGAGGAAATCGTTAATCCTTTCAAATTACCTAAGTTTAGACGCCTTGAAATATTATATCTACCGGTTCCGCAATTTAGTCTTAGGAAACCTTGTAAACTTAGAATTTGATATAAAGTGAAGGGTTCAGTAACCGAGGTACAGAGAGGCACATCAAGCTAGACTCTTGAGGTCTTATGTCACTGTAATACAGGCTATTTTCCAATAAAAATGTTTAGTCTGTCTGATGTGATGGGGACTGTACATTACAAAAGTTGCCCAGCCGTGCGATACGTAACGGTAGAAACTGGTACCAAATGTGAACTGGGCCGAAGGGCCCGCTGTGCACTTACTATCAATGTATTTAAAAAATAAAAATAAAAACTATTATTTCAATAACCGTTACTTGTTCTATGGAAAAGGTCTACCTTTTCTGACTTTTCTTTTAACTGTGTCTACACAGTTACGGCTAACGTGTACCTTATCATAACTAAGATATGAGATACCATACAGTACAAAGTAAGAAAATTAGAGAGAACAGCCTTGCTTGATTGATAAACTTTCAATAATTTATCAAGCTTAAGGAGAAATCGTCTTTTGCCTACAATTGAAAAATGAGTTGCAGTGTAAGTACCTACTCGTAGAACTTGCGCAAGCAGATTGTTTGTACGAAAAAGTATGGCATGGAATACCGATGCGTAGAGAGTGGGACGAATTGGGCATTGACAAATGAGTTACCATCGATAGCTTTAAAAGCGACGGTATGTAAAGATTTCTCCATGCAAAATGTAGGCCTGTAAACCTGCTTTAAGTACAGTTTTACAATATTGATTGACTCTACATTTGCTGGGATTCATGGTTTATTAGGGATCTATGCTCTAGTTTAGTTTTGGTAGAGAACCAATTTAAAGAGAAGACATTTAAGATTATGATGACCATGGGATATAGATATTACTTAATTAATGAAAATGCAATGGCTTAGCCTTAGGAGCCCTGAAAATTAATTATTCCCTTCGGAATGGCGCGACAGGGTTATTTGGTCATACCGTACTTTGAAAGTCGTTTGTCTGTAATGTTATTAAAGGACAATGTTCGTTCTCCATACATTGTTCGCCTAAGAACCAACAATTTTGACATATTACTACCCGAAAGCGAAATAATACGATTCTGTGTGTAAGAACAATGATTCCTGA